CAAAGATGAGTAGGAATGCCTGAGATACTAACCAGTGAGGCCTGCATCTGCCCATCTTCAGGTGGGTTCTACAATGACATTTCACAGGCCTGTGCAACAAAAACAGCACAGACCATCTCTGCAAGAGATATTTTGCTGTTCATATGGAGTCCTCCCAATCTTGTACTTCGGGGGCATTTTGCCTTACCCTACACAACAATAGGGCTATAGAATGAAATCTATACAAAATTTGTGTTTGAGATTGTCAGGATACATAGATGAATGGGCAGATGTGTAATTTTGAAGAGAATAATACAAAAGAATGCAAAGGATCTAACTACTGTTGTATTTAGCCAGTAGATGTGACCCTATCATGTTTTTGCATATTATTTTTTTTCCAATGACAGGAAGAACCGCTATTTCAAGTACAGCTTTTGAATTAAATAAACCACAGTTGTAGATCGACTTCCTGCAAGTCACTGCTGAATGACAAAAGGAATAATACAGGTTAAGGGAAAAAAAATACTCAAATGTAGATGAGCTGACTCCTTGTATTCATACTGAAACTATTTTTTTTCTATTTGCAGCTTATTTGTCATTCTTGTGGAATGCTTTATTCTATTCTGAGTATTATTCAATGAAAGTTAAAAGTTTGAAGTCCTGCTGCTTTCAGTGAGAAAGACTTAAGCTTTATTTTTTGATTGAAATAAAAGAGATCTTAACAATATCTAGATCATGGCCAATTCATGGGATGGCTGGCATTTAAATCCTCTTGTCAGTAGAATAGCTGCAATCAGTGGAATGTGGAAGTGGAGATTTCTCCTATGTCCTCCTATGCCCCTCATCTGCTCCAGAATACTGTGGAACCCTGCACAGCAAACTTGAACGGGCTTCAGCTGTGGTAGGAATGGTATGTTTTCCTTGCATGACATTGGATTTCATATTTGAAAGCTACATATATGTATGGCTGCATTTGAGTATTTACACTTGTGATAATGGGGGAATTTTAAAATAATTTCCAAGTGGTTGCCATAAATAATCTGATTCAAATTGTAAATGGACAGAACACATGCTTTATAATATATTTCAGTACATTTCCTACAGAGCTTTTTAAACAAAATATAAATGTAGATTATGCCCTGATTGTTCACACAATACCTGATAATAACAGGTTTTTTAATATGTGCCCTTTTTATTTTTGAAGTCTTAATAAATTTCCCCCCTCTGTTTCCCATCCCTCCCAGACTGGGCTAAGTGCTTATTGCTGTACTTCTTAGTCAGAATAGGGAAGGAAAGTCTGCCTTGTACAAGCCATTAAGAAATTCAAGCCATAAATGAAATGACCACAAAGACCTATCAGTTAGCAGAAATGCAGCAGTTGTACATATTTATTGTAACACAACACTACATTGTTGGAGAGATTTGCTGTTTAAAACATGTATAAGGCAGCTAAAATTTGACCATATTATTTCTCTGTTTGAAAAATGAGAACATGTGGAGTGGCATAACCTCAAATACATAAATAAATATTAGACTAATGGGGAAGGCAGGTACACAACCAGTCTAGTAGTAACAGTTTAAAGGTCACTGGTTAAACCTGAAACTTTGCAACCATACATCTTTGATCTCACATGTGCAAACACAATGTATTTGTAGGTGTCTGTGTATCTGTGCATGAGAGAAAGAGGCAGAAAAAGAGACAAAGAGAGCAAGAGCACCTTAAAAGAACAGAAAAAAAGATTGCCTATTCATGATATCCTGGCCTTGAACACATGCACCGCCTAAACACACCAAACACTCTTACTGTCTATAAAACCATTTTTTTCCCATAAATGTAATGGATTTAAAAATCATGTATCCCTATTTGACAGAAAAGGTGAATGATCTCAGTACCACAATTCCTACTCCACATATTCCCAAATAATTCTGAAACAATTGGGCTTCAGTGGAAACTAATTTAGATCTCATAGGGTGTTAGATGAATGACAGCAAGTCAGTTTAACCTGGTCATATCTTTTTATTGGTTCGTGTGTGGCTCTTTTTGAAACAAAATATGGTTTACATATGGATTCAGTATGGATATTTTAACTGCAGCTTTGGAAGACTTAAGATTGCAGCCAAAATCCTATTGAAAACAGTAGTTCTTATTGACCATAGTGGAGCTTTTTTTCAAGGTAAACACGCAAAGGATTGTACTGAATGATGATTTAACTGTGTAACATTCTAAGGTTAGTTTCAACAAACTACAGCTGGTTAATGTTCTAATACAAACTGAAAAGATGTCCAATCACTACATGCCTAGTGGCCATTTTGAATTCATAAAGCTCAACTTTGTTACTGGAGACTTGATTAAAATATCTGTTTAATTCTTTGGACAAGATCCAACACCACATGAGTAGACTACTGCTTGAGAACAAAGACTTTGCCTTCTCTTCCCCTCCGCAGCCCCTCATGTGCTTTTAAAATCCACTCTGGAAGATCTGATGAAGATATTGTATGCACCCAGAATGGTGCTGGTATAGGATTTTGAAGAAAACGTGGATAAATGTTCCACTTTATATAATGTCAATGAAATGAAAAAGACTCCGCGTATGTTATTCATCTTGAACATGGTAGTTATACAGGAAAATATTTCAGCTAGCACAAGTTATATCCAGTCCAGTATGTCCCATCTGTTGGCACTGCTTGCTCTGATTCTTTATATCTCAAAACTATCAACCATCATATAGTCATAATACTCACAAACCCAAAGAGAAAACTGCAAATGTGCATGTGTTTCTGCATGTAGAGATCCAACCACAGGAACAGCAGGTGCACAGTTGGCTTATAAACATGTCCCCAACCAACAACCTTCTTTTTTGTGGTTTCCTCTCATTGTATCAGAATGATTCTCTTTGGCAAATAGTGGCCAAAATCCTGTTGCTTAGTGTATTAATCACACTGGGCCCATTGAATCAATGGGGCTTTAGTGAGTCAACTCCTCTGTAAATGCCATGAATTCAAATGGACCTCTTCAAAATGTGATGTACTATGCTGAAGTCACAGTTAGGCAAGCCCATTTGAATCCACTGAAACTATGAAGAATTTGACTCATCAAATCCCCACTAATTCAATGGGCATATTCTAGTGCAATTTACTATACTAAGCAACAGGATTTTGGCCACTATAACAGAACTAAAAAGGACATATAATTATATGTGAATTATGTTTTGTTATTTTTATATTGTGCTTTAAAGTTCAATTTGAATGGTTGATCTTGCTTTGCGTTATAATTGCTATATTTCGTTTAGTAGACCTGTAAGCCAGCTGGAGTTCAATTTTGGGTGAAATCTAGCATAAAATTTTAATACACAGGCCTAAATCAAATTGTTTGTCCCATCTAGAGTAGGCCAATTGAATCGACTACTGAATGATAGATAATCACTTCTGCAAATCCACATATTCTAATAGGGGTATTCTAGCTGAGATGGGCAACTGGATTTTAGGCCAATTAGATGTGTTACTGATTCCTGCATCAAATTCCTATGGTTGGTTTTATCAATTAAAGTTTGCAAATGTTTGTGTTCATTTTGGAGACAGTAGCTGAGTTTTCTGACACATTAGAACCACCAGATTTATATTAGATTTCTGACACATTAGAAGCACCAGATTTATATGACATTTACCAGGAAAGGGCTGCTATTGAACAGTCATTGCTTCCTGTCTATCTTGAATGCTCTATCTTTTTCAGTAATTCTTTGCAATAGGAGGGACACTATCAATATACAGTGGTGCCTCGCATAACGGGTGCCCCGTTTAACGACGAATCCGCATAGCGACGATGTTTTTGCGATCGCATAACAATGTTTCCTATGGGGGAAATCGCTTTGCGATGATCGGTAAGCTGTTTCGCTTACCGATTTTCGCATAGCGATGTTTTTTCTCCACCTGATCGGCAGTTCCAAAATGGCTGCTGGGTAAAACAGGGACGGATTCCTCGCTCATCGGGCAGCTAAAATGGCCGCCATATGGAGGATTTTCGCTTAAAAGGTAAGTTTTAAGCCCATAGGAACACATTGAAGGGGTTTCGATGCATTCCTATGGGCTTTTTAATTTCGCATAGCGACGAATCCGCATAGCAAAGATTTTTGCTGCACCACTGTATTGCATTTTTTTAATGGGATAAGGTTTTTAGATGCCCAATACTACTAGCTGAGCAGCAGCAATATATTGAATATAGCCTGATCATTTAACTGCCTTGCATATATACACTGCTTTTGAAGTAGCTGGTATATAGTTTTAGTCATCTGAAAGTGGCTAGTAATGCTGGTGTATAGTTTTACTCATCTGAATGTTTTACTAGTAATGCTCCTTTCAGGGTTTAAATCCATGTGATATCTGTCTTACATTTCAATTCAGCTGTAGAATGGTAATTCAGAACAGTCCTCAGATGAGATAGAATTTTTTGGGTACTCCTGTTCACCAATCAAATAACAAACTATCTGCAGTGCTTAACAGTACACACATACTCATGAGAAAGATAGAGGGCAAGAAATAAAGAGGGCCAAGAACACTGGAGTTACTTGAATGGATTCAGGTCACCTGAAAGATTTCAGGATTTTGGATCAGGTCTTTAATCAGAGTTTTAATCTGGCTGTCAGCTCTAGATAGTGACAAACACTTTGTTGATTTTATTGAGAAGGGAACAAAACTGCAAGTGAGATTTGCTTTCCTGTCTCTTCCTAGCACTGTTTTTAAAGATTCCATTTATTTCAAGAATTATACTTACAAACCTAAGTGTAGTTATACTGCTTGATTTTATTATTTTATAGCACAATGTTAATACCCCAGTTTGTCAAAACATCTTTATAAAACACAAGCAGATTTGAATAGTGAAAACTGTTCAGACAGGACATGCTTTATCAAAAGCTGTGATAGGAATGGGGGCAGGAACCAAAGATTTTCCTAACATTAACATAGTACTTGAAATATGGTACAGTATAGGGTTGAGTCCCATGTATATTGCTATTCTATTCTCTTACCTTGTTCCTTTTGAAGTATGCTCTTCGGCAAGCCGCAAAGCACTTCTCACTGCAGAAACATTTCACTTCACTTCCCATACTCAGAGAATAGCGTTTGATTCCCACTTTCTGGCACCAGGCACACATTATTTGTACATTTGACACATCATCTTCTGCAACAAAAAGACAAAAATAGCATTTTATATACTAGAATGAGAACCCTGTCATACATGATATGCTGCCTCCCAAACATCTATTTCTCCTGTCTACTTGTCTGTGGGCAATAAAGGTTTGCCCATTTATGTTTATCTGAATGTTCCTAAAGCAGCTGGTGACTAGCTGCCTCACTCTTCAACGGTCTGAAAATGATTAGCAGTTTAATGAAAGGACCGATGCACTGTAATCTTAAGAGGCTGCAACATCCTAAAGAACAAGTTGATGTTAAATTTATGAAAAAGCAACAATTACCAAAGCATATTTTAATATATCCATTATTTACAGCTCAAGAAAGGTGAGTCAACAACATTGGTTTATGATGGGCCAAGGTGAGCAATTTGCAGGTCTAGCAGCATCTTTGCCAGCACAAGCAACCCATCAGGAAGCGCACACACTCATTTTGTTCCACCACTGAAACTGTAGAAACAGATTTAGCAGCAGCAAGGTGAGTCATAAAACACATTCCAAAATGGGGATTCCAGGATTTCAGATAAAATGGAGAGCTTCCATACATATGGGGGGCTCTTTACATGGCAAACTCTCTCTCCACGCAAGAGTGATGGAAACAGTAAAAGAAGGGGATGAGATTACTTTGCTCCTTTTCTTCATACAATTAACACTGCACAATTTTAGAAAGTTTGAAAAGGTGTCCAGTTGCACAGTTCAAGTACATTTACTTACAAATAACTTGGCAAAACTAATCCTGTTTATGTACTACTTGTGCCCATGTTTAGGAGAGGAAGTAATACTATAGTGTTGCCCATACCAGTGATGTAAACAGTGGGTACAGTTTAGTCTTGCCCTTGCTGTCTGTACTGTGATGCATGAAGAGCTACCAATAGGGCTACTGTCACAACAACACCTTGAAAGTTCTAGGCTCAGGTGGGAAAGATGCTGGTCTCCTGTTGCTGTTTTGCTTCATCTTCCTAACGTCCCTGGCCAATGGTTGTATTGACTAAGGTTTGCAGGAACTGGAGGGCAACATTTCCCTCAAGCTCAGGTTCTAAGCTCTCCACTGAGCCATGTTGTAAAATCTACTAAAGCACTTAAACAAGCTCAATTCAGCAGGATTCTGCAAGAAATAATGGCCTTTTTTTTTGCTGTCAACACTGTCAGAGAATAGAGATCCAAACATAATCTAGTTCAGCAGGATTCTACAAGAAATAATGGCCTTTTTTGCTGTCAGCTCAGTCAGAGAATAGAGATCCAAACATAATCTATGCTACTCCTCAATGAACTATTGCAAGTCTTCCTCCATCTATCAACATAACTGCTTCATTGGTCTCGTCTCCTCACACTGGAAACTATTGGAAACCTTGCACTCTTTAGAGAGAAAGATAGCGAACCTAAGATCTGTGTCAGCATCTCATAAAGGAGATTGCAGTTCATAAAAGCTTATGCCAATTAGAGACTAATGCTTGTTAATCTTCGGTGCCATAATATTCCTTATTGTTTTCTCTCAACAAGTTCATTGTTTCAAGAGCAAACTAAGAATTTATAGTTTCTCAAGAACTGGAAGATATTTCAAAGATCATCTGGTCTAACCTGGACTGTTACGTGCCATGAAGTCAGAACTGATCTAGAACCACCTTAAGAGGGTTTTAAAGGTGAAATATTTAAGAAGTAGTGTTATAAATTCAACAACCTCAGTGAGTTTCCAAGGCAGAATGGGGGCTCAAGCCTAAGTCTCTTGAGACCTAGTTCATCACTCTGCCTGTTATATCACATTGGGTATCCTGGACTAGGACTGGTTTAACCCTGTTTCATATAGTATCTTACATGATGCACTAAAAGCCACATATAAATAGGAATGTGTTAAACACAACTGAGTGCTCACTGGAAGGACAGATCCTGAAGCTGAGGCTCCAGTACTTTGGCCATCTAATGAGAAGAAAAGACTCCCTGGAAAAGACCCTGATGTTGGGAAAGTGTGATGGCAAGAGGAGAAGGGGACGACCGAGGATGAGATGGCTGGACAGGGTCTGCGAAGCAACCAACATGAACCTGACACAACTCCGGGAGGCAGTAGAAGACAGGAGGGCCTGGCGTGCTCTGGTCCATGGGGTCACGAAGAGTCGGACACGACTAAACGACTAAACACACAAACACAACTTACTTTTCAACAGCCTGTTCTTATTAATTTTCTTATATAGTTAAGTTCCACTAAGTTTAGTAAAAATATTTCCAAATATGTTTGCATAGGATAATAGCCTTACTATGCATTGCTGTCACACACATGTACATGTTTTGTTGATTTATATACACAACTTTTAAAATGGCCATTTTATCTTGCTTCCTAAAGATGTAACAATCTAACTGCACAGTTCTCCTGGGGTTCCAACCTTCATGAACCCCATTTCCATGGAAACACATTATGTATAATTCCACTTTCACTTCTGAATTGCTGAAGACTTTCCATATGTGGAAAGGAGTGCTGTCCTCTGAAGATGCCGTCCACAGAGACTGGTAAAACGTTAGGAAGAATAACCTTCAGAACACGGCCAAAGAGCCTGGAAAACCCACAACAACCATTTTTCCATATTTGTTTTTGTCACTGCTTCTAAGTTTTTGACAGTACAATTATGCCACACATCTGCTCAGAACCAAGAATTGCCAAGTTCAATTCAACAGGCATAAATTTGAGGTAATAATATACAAAAGAGAAATCTACCTTAGCAAACGTAGGAAAATATATGGGTTAAAAATGGATACAGAACATTTTTAAAAAAAACACCCTATCTTTCCATGCGAAACACAAATTGAAAGTGTTTTTAAAACTCAAGAACCTAGTTAAAACTAAATGCTCATTGTCGACATCATGCAACTTTTATTGATCAACATAAATCTCAGCACTGAGAGCAGGGGGAAATGTTATTAAACTGGCAATATTTATTCTGTTAACATGAATCAAATGTGGCACATGGTTTTGAGTTATGGTAGCTAGGGAAAGAAGCCAAATGCCTTTAGTACAAATTAGTTTACCAATAATTCTACAGAATTATGACAGCACTGCTCCAAAACAAATCCTTTAAAGAGGAAATAGGATAGCTTTATGACAGGTTCTGTGAACCTCAGATTGTCCACAGTGCATGAACTACAACCTGACTAATCATATTTGGGGCATCTTTACAGCAATCTAACAGTGAGTAGTACAAATGTAAATGTTTTGGCAAACAGCCTCTGAGAAAAATAACTTGAATTCCTAAAGCTACTTTATTTTGTCTTTGACGCTGCACTGTTTTATCCGAAAAACTCCATATTTCACTTCCTTGTACAGTACAAGCAATTATTGGTTACTTTGTAAATATGCCATACATTTGAGGTGTCACACTTATGTACATAGGAATTTTTCTAATTTCCTAGGTAGGCTTGATCCCCCAGTAATGTCCCTTTGGACTCTCTCCCTTAAACCACAACATTGCCTAGCAACCATCCTATCTATTGACATAGGACTTGTCTTTCACATTATTTGTTCATAGAATCATAGAAAAGTAAAGTTGAAAGGGGCCTACAAGGCCATCAAGTCCAAAACCCTGCTCAATGTAGGAATACAATCAAAGGATATCTGCCAGGTGATTATCTATGTCTTTCAGCCTTCCTCATAAGGCTTGGTTTCCAGCCCCCCGATCATCTTTGCCGGCCTCCTTTGAAATTGTTCCAATTTGTTATCATCTTTCTTGAAGTGTGATGTCCAGAACTGGACACAATATTCAAGGTACAGTACCAGTGCTGAATAGAGGGGGACTAGCACCTCGCAGAATTTGGAAACTACACTTCTATTAATGCAGCCTAAAATAGCATTTGCCTTTTTTGTAGCCACATCACCCTCTTGGCTCATATTTAGCTTGTGATCTATGACAATTCCAAGATCCTTCTCACTCTTAGTTTTGCTGAGCAAGGTATTCCCCATCTTGTAACTGTGCAATTGGTTTCCTTTTCCAAGGTGCAGTACTTTGCACTTATCACTGTTGAATTTCATTCTGTTGCTTTCAGCCCAGTGTTACATCCTATCAAGATCATTTTGAATTTTGTTTCTCTCTTCTAGGGTATTAGCTATTCTGCGCATTTTGGTATCATCTGCAAATTTGACAAGCATTCCCTGCACTCCCTCATCCAAGTCATTAATAAAAATATTGAAGAGCACCAGGCCCAGGACTGAGCCTTGTTACCTCCTCCCAGTTAGAGGACCCATTAATTATCACCCTCTGAGTACAATTCTGTAGTCAATCGTGTATCCTGCTGACACTTGTTCTATCCAGCCCACACCTAGTTAGCTTGCTAATCAGGATATCATGGGGCACTTTGTCAAAAGCTTTGCTGAAGTCAAGATATACTACATCTACAGCATTCCCTCTGTCTATCAAGGAGGTGACCTGATCATAAAATGAGACCAAATTAGTTTGGTAGGATTTGTTCTTGACAAATCCATGTTGGCTTCTAGTTTTTTACTGCATTGTTTTCTTCGTGCTTGCAGAATGACTGGTTTATGATCTGTTCCAGAATTTTGCCTGGGATTGACATCATTTAAATATGTTGATTCAGTCTTGGGAAAACTTCTATAATTTAAGAATACACCGCACATACTTGATTCTGGGATTAAAGAGAAGATGTCAGGGATTTGATTTTAGACTTAGAAAAGCTAGTTTTTCTTATAGTTTGTTAAAGTTAATTCTATGATTTTTACAAGGAAGATAATAACACATTAATTCAATGGAAATTTTGAACATTCAGTACTTAAGAGTGTGTTCTATCAATAGCTATGGTGCATCTCCCCATTAGTTCTAAGCCAGACAGCCAAGCTTTTGCAAGCCTAAGCAATCTCAGCTAACATTACAGGTGGCTCTGAGCCACTTTGATGCACCATCAGATTGTATTACGTATGTGTGACATAGGAATCTGATGGTTGTTCAGATGTTCCCAGGGATCTTGGCCTAGAACACAGTATTGCTGGACTTCA